TTTGTGTTTTGTATTTTGTGTTTTGTATTTTGTGTTTTGAGGTGATTTTGTGTTTCTGCTTCTTTGGGTGCTTCCAGTCAATTCCCCCCCAGTATTTGAATTATCTCCCGAATTTCGGAGAAGTTCCAATCCCAGGTGGGGCTGACAGAGCCCTGCAAAGAGGAGAAAATGGGTTTTTAAAGCAAAATAAAAATCCACACAGCTCTTTTTTGGTTTGGATCAGTGAGTTGCCCATTTTTGTAGAACCCAAGGAAAAAATGGGATTTTTTTTCCCACCTGCAGGAGCTGTTTGCAGTTAGGAGGGAATTATTTGGGAGGAAAACAGTTTTCCTGGAGGGGAGAAAAAACACATCATGATGGGAGCGGATTTGCGTTGTGCCCCAAAAACTCCCTCATTTTGGGGAATTAAAGTGATTTAATGCAATTCCAGCTTTTCCCATTTGATTTTTAATGGATTTTTCCTTACATTTTCAGGATGTCATTGGTCAAGTTTTGCCAGATGCCACGACCACAGCGTTTGAGTGTAAGTGTGGCTCCCATCAGCCAATTCCTTTGTCACATTTGCTGGGCTGTAACTTAAATAAATAATATTTTAAATAAATCAATATTTTTTTATGTTATTCTTCTTCTATTCTGATTCTATTTATTATTTCAAAATAAGTGATCCTCATTATACGTCACGGTGAAATATTTATGCATTAATGCAACTTTAATAATGGCACCAAACCGAGCAATATTTTATTTTTTAATCACATCTGGAATATTTCCACAAAGCAGCTTTAATTACCAGCCTGACCTTACCGTGCTCTTACTCCTCAGTGCAATTTTATTGCTCAAATTAAATGAAAAGTATAAACTACCTGTAGGTCTCGGCTTAAAATTTGTAATCCTCCAGTCCTCCCAGCAAGTATTTAGGCTAATGTCTGTTCTTTAAACCCTGTTTATTTTGATTTTTGGAGGGGTTCCTGGGGGGTTGTCCTGTCTGGAGAGCAATCAGCTGCAAAGGGGAGAAAATACTGAAAAAATGGAATTTCCTTCCAAATGCAGGAGGCATTTCCTGCTGCTCCCTTTTAATTTTTATTGTATTTTTCCCTCCGTTTTCCATTGAGGTGAAAGGAAATGATATTTTTTAATTTTATTTTTCCCTCTGTTTTCCTTTGAGGTGAAAGGAAATGATATTTTTTCATTTTATTTTTCCCTCTGTTTTCCTTTGAGGTGAAAGGAAATGATATTTTTTATTTTATTTTTCCCTCTGTTTTCATCTCAGAGGAAATGATATTTTTTTTGTTCGATTTTTCCCTCTGTTTTCCTTTCATCTCAAAGGAAATGATATTTTTTATTCTATTTCCCCTCTGTTTTCCTTTGAGATGAAAGGAAGTAATTTTTTTTTTAATATTTTTCCCCTCTGTTTTCCTTTGAGATGAAATGATATTTTTAATTTTATTTTCTCTCTGTTTTCCTTTGGTGGAGGGAGTGACAAGCTCTGACAGAGCAAACTCGAGGTGGGGCCTCATTTTTAGCAGCTTTTCTCCCCTTTTTAGAGCTTTGGGGCTCATTCTGCCTGTGGATAATCAGAGGAAATATTAATTTATGATCCTTCCAAGTCCTGTTTAATGCTCTTTTTCTTCTCACACCTTGTGCTTTCCTCTCCCAAAACCAAATTTTATTTCTGAACCTCGGAGTTTTTCCTGCCTGAGCCTGTAGATCCTTGCCATTTTTTTTCCACTTCATTTTGGGTTCTTTTTATTCATATTTTATTTTATTTTAATTTAATTTATTTTATTTTATTTTATTTTATTTTATTTATTTTTTATTTATTTTATTTTATTTATTTTATTTTTATTTTATTTTATTTTAATTTTATTTTATTTTTTATTTGTATTTTATTTATTATTTCTTTTATTTATTATTTTCATTAATATTTTCCTGCCATCCCGCACTGGCTGGGTTGGAGCTCCGTGCTCCACCACGTGCAGGATTTTCCTGGAAAATTCGGATTTTTTGTCCTGCCTCCCAACATCTGCTCTGTGCCTTCCCTGCTTGTCTCTAGTCTGTCATTTCCAGCTGCACCAGCCCATTTAACAGCCAGCTGAAATATGGATATTGACGTTTTTAAATGGTTTTTTTCCCTTTTTTCCCCCCACTGGATTTTTCTGCTCGAATTTCTGCTCCCCAGCGCTGCCTCAGGTGGGGAGGATTGTCTCCACCCCAGATTTTTTGGTGCTTTTTATTTTGGTTTTCACACCCCCGGCGTGGAAATCCAGATTTTTGCCCCGTTCTCCACGTCCCCACAAAAACCCCACTGACACCATCTGGTCCCTCAGCATCCCCAAATCCCCACCCTGCATTCCCCTTTTCCTGATTAGCTGCAGATTTTGGGATTTTGGGGAATTTCTCTGCTCAGTTTTTATTCACCATCTGCTGCTCCCTGCTCTCCTCTCAGGGTTTCTTCTTCCAGTGTAAAGGATGCAAAAAAATCCAGCCAGGATGGGGGAAGTTTTATTTTTTTTTTAATTTTTTTTTTGTTCCCCCCAGGATGGGGGAATTTTTATTTTTTTTTAATTTTTTTTTTGTTCTGCTCTTGCTTCCCACAAAAAATCTGGAGGAAAAACCCCAAAATCTGGGGAAAAAAACCCACAAAATCCAAAAATCTGGGGGAAAAAACCCACAAAACACAGGAATCTGGGAAAAAAACCCCACAAAACCCAAAAATTTGGGGGGAAAACCCACAAAACCTGAGAATGTGGGGAAAAAAAAACCAAACAAAACACAAAACCCAAGAATTTGGGGGAAAAAAAAAACACAAAACCCAAGAATCTGGGGGAAAACCTCACAAAAAAAAAAAATCTGGGGGGAAAAAACCCACAAAAGCCAAAAATTTGGGGGAAAAAAACCCCAAAACCCCAAGAATCT